AACGATGGGCCTTCCTTTTGCCGATTGGATTGCTCGTATTGTTCTAATCTCATAGTTAGTTAGATTTCGCCTAGAATATCCGTCCCCGCGGGTTTTCCGTTTCTGATTTTTTTCATCAAAACGGCTGCCATTTCTTTACGTTTTTTTTTCTTTGCAAGGTCAATCCGATATAGAGGACGATTCCGATGACAACGCCTTCACTCTTCTCATTGGTGTTTGATGTCGGTCACCTCACCTGTACATTTGACTGCCACCAAAGATAAGGAAGCACCTGACTTCCAGCGCTCCCAGCGCTTCTCCACCAATAAGCGTTGTTGCCCTCCTCGCCCCTAGTTTATGTGGAAGGTACTTGGTGATAGTCGAATTGTATTGATCTAGTAACATGCGCTTTCAACCGATTTCCAAGGCAGCGTTCCTGTTCCCATGAAAAAGTTTGATATTCTTAACCCGCAGCTAGAAGGCCTGTTTAAAGCAGTATTTCACGATCCGCTCGGAGGTCAATCAAAGGAACCTACCTAGTGGAAAGACAGGGGACCCTCTTAAAGGTGTGGACCGGCACGCGATTCACAGCGAAGGATATGCTCCCGGCGATCTAGTATGGTTCTCCCCGCGACGCTATCGCGCTGCACGCCCATCGACTGACTAAGCTCTAGCCGTTCAGCAGAGAAGAGCGTTAGCGTTGAAGAGGGCAGCACGATGAGAGTCGCATCAATGCGGAAATCAATGAGCAACAAAGGTCCCAGTTTTCGGGAGCCATTTGTCGTTGGTTTTTTTTTCATCCCGGCACCACTGGTCATCCTTCCCCTTTGAAAGAGGACACGACCAAGTCGAAAGTAGAGATGGTGAAACCTACTTGGAAAGACAGACCCTCAAGAATTCGGAACGACATGCAGTTTGCAGCGAAGGATTTGCACCCAGCAATGCATGTTCATCTCCTCGCCGTAATCGCCGCTGCATGCACCCCAACCCCCCCCCCCCCTCCCTCCACATCCGACGCCAGCCGTTTGGCAGGGCAGAGAGTGTTAGCGTTGATGCGTTAGCACCATCAATACGGACATCAATGGGTAAATAAGAGCTCCCAATCTCGGGTTTTGGACAGTTTGTCATGGTTTTCCTTCATTCCTGCATCACTGACCACATTTGCCTTGATTTCTAATAGGCTGCCTTTTCACCGTAAACTCCTCTTACAAAATGTACCCAGTAGAGGATGCTGGTGAGATCGATCTACTTACTAAGACTATGTTATTGCGGCGGCTATTGCTACTGTATTTCTACCTTGCAACTACCTCCTTAATGAGCTTTCTTCAGCCACATCACAAGCAATCGCGGAAGTCGAGGGAGGCGGCATTGAGGCACAATCTCTCAAAGGATTCTGAGCTCAAAAACCATCGACGAAGATTTGCGATCTTCTTGATATCGTCAGATTTTTCTCATTCTACGAAAATGGCCCAAAACCCTTGCACAGTTGTAGTGTACCGTATTCATTTATCCTGCCCTTTGATAGCAATAAAACCAAAAACGATAACATCTCGGAATCATAGTGCGTTGGCAGGCAGCAAAAGCATGACTTTGGCCAAAGAATAAGACAAAAAACTTTGTGATAGACAGTCAAGTCCAGAACAAGAAATAAGGGCTCAGAAATCTCTCCAAAGGCCAATGACCAGAGCTGTTTGCCTACATTGTTGGCATTCTTGTGCTATACTTAGCCAAATGCAACTTGCACTATCACAAATATAGCAGCTTCTATTGCAAAAACTATTCTGAATCTGTTACCAAACTAATATAGTGGAGAAAGACAACATAAATATATTTGCAGCGGAATATCCTGTTTATTGGATCGCTCGAGTATTTCTAATGCAGCTGCTAAACCAACTATAGGCAACATTCTGGTACCCGACAGGAGGCCCGTCACGCGGCGAGAACGTTTAGAGACTAATTTCGGGTCAGCAGACGAGTCGCATCGCGTACTGTAAGGAGCATCAGCTTAAATGAGATGTGCTATAGTACGTTACACGCTCTGCGACTTGTCCGCAGACCGTTGCGTATCTGCTTTACCGCCGTGCGACAGACTCTTGTCGGGGTACCCGAAACATCCCACACACGACCGGCCGCAGATTTGCAAACGGCGAAAGAGAATCTGGGAGCTTGAGCCCCAACGCGAATGAATTATGAGCACCTGTGTTGCATAGAAAATAAATATAAACCCCAAATGTTCACAGTAATGGTCAACCTGTTTCCAATGCAAATGGCAACGAAGAAAGTCTGCCGTCTACTTTGAGCAAAGCGCCAGATCTCTTTATTCATCTTCATGTTACGAACATACTGAGTTGTTCAATCTTCGAATCTCTTGAATACACAGGGCAGCGTTACGACTAGCAAGTGACTATATGAATGAGAGAGATAATGATAAAAACGGTAACTAATAGAAAGTAAATGAGATATAAGCGTAAAACATCGTAAACTAACAGATAGAAAATCTAAACGAAATAGCCAAGGGGTTGAAAAAATACGTCATCACTGTGACAGAGCTCTATGCACGAAATGCTCATTAAATTCAAGATGATGTGTTCTACGACAAACGAAGCCTCTGTCAAATGTGTCAGATACTTATCGCATATGTTGTTATAAATAATTCGAAATAAGCATTTACAAAGCTTCGCTTGCAATAGGTTGGACGAATCTGATAGTGGCTAAGCAGTGGTATGGTGCAGCACTTAGGGTAAAACAAGAGCTACTTGCGTAAAATTTTCGATTGACTATCATAAGAAAAACTACGCGTCAATGTCCGAAAAATGAGAAACGACACTTTCTATAATCAACCATGTTTTGTAGGATCCGCAAAAGGGAAAAACTCATCACCTGGCCTCACCTACACTATACTTTATAGAGTTAAACAGTGATAACCGAGCTTAACTTCTTTCAAAATACGAACGATTCTTGATCACCGCAGGGGAAAAAAATTCTGTGACAAAACTAGTAAATTCGAATCAATTATAGTCTTAATAAATTCTTCGATCAAAAAGGTATTAACGACCGATGGTGGCACTATGGGCACTGTTGGGAAGGTTCCTGCTCTTTGAGCCAATATGGTGCCGCTTGTTCAACTCTATCTAGCACACGTTTCCAGCCGAGGACGGTACTGAGGTCGATCTCTTGACTGTTGGTATTCAGTAGTAAATTTGGTGGTGGAGTAGTTCGCATCTTACAGACGAATAGTTTCGACAGATTCGTCACGAACTCGTTCTCATTGAATGGAATTGGCGTCTAAATCGTGAAAATGAACGAAATAGGAAACCGACTTCTCCATAACAACAATCTCACCTGTGCTTCACATTCTTGCTCACTTGTTGACGGTTCTTCTTTACCATACGTCTCCTAAAATGACAAAATAAATTTATTCATAAAAAAATGAATAATCGGTTAAGATGAGACAGTTCGATCCACATGAATGAGAAAATGACCGAACAGAATTCTACAAGCTCACCTCTGTTCGGGTTTTCTTTAGCGGCTCCGACCCCAAAACCCAAGTATCGTTGCTCGACGTTCGGATTTTGTCGATGACATCTTCGAATTCATAGTGCCTAGAATTTGAAGTATCTATTCTGAGCTTACACCACTCTAGTTTTTTTTCTATAACATTTTTTTCCTATTCTTCAAAAACGCAACAGAAGGGGCGACGGCGACAACGAAGCAAGGCTATCATGAGTAAGAGGAAATTGTCATC